AATATTTTAAATTCATGCGAACTTATTCGAATTAATTTAATATTTACCGGCTTTGCTAGTTTATCTTCATAAAAAACATTCCACTGAATGTCTTCCATTGACTCATAAAAATCTGATTCGTTTTCTATAAGGTATTCTTCAGCTGCCTCCTTTAATTGTATCTATTTGGGTATATGTTATAAACTACTAATTTTTTCGCTATGGCCAAACTTATTTGCTATTATAGAAATAAAATATAATTAGCTTAAATTAAATTAATTAAAACATTAAAATTTAAAGAAATAATTACTTTAATATATTTAGTTTCATTAGAAAGATTTAAACCTTCTATCATACGTTTATCCATTTCAGAAATCTTTCGCTCCATTCTATTCACTTTCTCAGTTAGCTCAAGAAGCATATCCTTAATTGTATTTAAAGTAACTTGTTCTTAAATTATTTTAAATAGTAAATTAAGTTAAAAATAATATAAATAGTAAATTAATTAAATAAACAAAATAATATTAATGAATTTTAACCATCTGAAGTTGTTGGAGGAGGAATTGATGTTGAGCCAGTAGATTCGACCAGGTGCGCAGCTGCCCGCTCAGTATCTAGCTGAGTGATGTTTCTACCGGCTGTCATTTTTAAGAATTCTTCACGCCTTTTGGCTGATAATTTAGCACCTTTTCCAAGTTTAGAAGACATGACGTAAATAAAATAAAGGATATAAAATAAAAAATAAAATAAAATAATGAAAAAAATAAAATCAACTAAAAAAAATAGAAAAGTAATACGAAATAGTGTAAATAAAATTAAAACAAATAAGATAAAATCGAACTAATGCGAATTATAAAAATAAAATAAAATGAAAATAAAATGAAAATAAAAAATAAGAAAATGCGAAATAAAGCGAATTATGTGAAAGGATTGCACGAGAATTAGTGATATGAATTAAAGTATAAATTAAAATGAATCAAATAAAATAGAATAAAATCGAAAAAGTTTGATGATAGGAAAAAATAGCGTGAAATTGAGTAAATGTGAATTTGTTTGAAGTCGTTTGATAAGCGAAGTAATTTAGAAGAGAAATATATCGAAATTAGGATGAAAGTGAAAATATGATGAGAAAAGACAGCAAAAGATAGTTTATTTAAGCTTTTTCGATAAAATTCTAATGTAATCATAATATTTTGCAGCACAACTATATATCGAAAAAATAAATTATGTTCGAATTAATTTAATTGTCTTTGATTTATCTAAATTAATCAATTTAGATATAACTTGTATAATAAATATTTTTGATTTATTTCGCTATTTTGTCTTTTAAACGACTTTGTTCTCAATTACTGTCTTTAATAATGATCGATCTAATTCAATTTAATTTGGTTTAGTTTAAACAATGGATTTATCCCGATTTATTATTCATTTACTATATTTAGAATATAAAAAATAATTAATCCGCTTGAAAACAATTAAATACAATTAAAGTAAATTTATCTGCATAATATGCATTATACTAATTTATTTAGTAGCTTTCTAGATTTTTACATAATCGGGGTTTTCTAAATATGTTCAAGAATAATTGATATGACTGTAACAGACTAATAAAAGAAATTAATCGTTAATCTAATAAACATTAAGCTGATAATATCGATTTAAAGGAAATATCGCGAATAAGATAAATTCAATTAATAAGCCACATTGAAAGATTTAGTTCTAGGACGCAAATCACTAACTCTTCCCAACGATCACTTGTACCAAACTTCTCTTAAAAACAATTGCTATTTTCTCAAAATTTTATTAAGTAAACCTCTTTTGGCT